CCCCCCCCCCCCGGGGGGGGGGGGGAAGAGGAGGAGTTCTGCTTTGAGTTCACTACTTGAGAATGGCTTTTGTTTATTGGCTTTAAAGTGTCACAAGCAACTAGTTCTACCTGCTGCTTTTTTAGTCTTCTTGGAAACATCTGTACACTCAGACAGGCTCCCTACCGGGTCCAGCATGACTCGGTGTCTTTCTGTTTGTCCTTTGCTGCTGATTTGTGTGTTCTGTTTTCTTCAGTGGCTGCAAGAGGAAGGGGACGAGGAATGGGACGTGGCAACATTTTCCAGAAGCGGCGGTAACTTTGGATCAAACCCTGCTTTGCTGAGGATAAAAGTCTGCTAATTGTACTTGTGTGTACTTTAATAAATATGTTTTTTACAAAATAGGAAGAGAGCATCTGTGTGTCCGTGACTTAACTGTGGTATAGATTGGCTGCTTGTAGTAGCTATGGTGCCCGACTCAGGAGCTGTTTTTTAAAAAATAAAAACAAATTAAACTAAAACCAGTCACCTGCCTTTTAGGTGATATTAATAAGACAATCTTTGAAGGTAGCTTTCCTATGTGAGGTTTAATAAACAAGTTGTTAACAGTATTAAAAGAAGGGCCCATGGGCTTAAAAATGCCATTTGATTTTTAAAATAATTTATTGTACTTTCGATTAATCAGTAAACTCAGATCTCTGGGTAATGCATAAAATAAAAACAGACTGATCCATAAAATCTAAATCATGGTAAGGTATAAGACCTCTCATTAGTGCTTCCTTAATGTAAGTTTTGATTTTTTTTCTTCCAATCTTTGCAAAATGCAGAATAAAACTTTAAAAGGTTTATCTAGCAAGTATTTTTGTGTTCACTTGTATGCTTCTAAAATTTTAGTTATCTTTGAGCATGGTTTGGAGAGATAAGTAGAGGATGAAGTGCTTGGTTTGATCTCAGAGGTTATAAAACCTTTTAGACCAGAATAGGGTATTTCATTTTAAGGGAGCGTATCATATTACAAATTGAGAAAAGAAAGTTTGCCTCCCTCTGAAGATGACCAGCGCTCCTGCGTGTTCAATTCATTTTGACCATCTTTCCTCTGCTGCCTGCAGGTCTCCCAACCTCTTAATTGGGAATCTGCAAGTCTTACAAGCAGAACTCTTAGCTTTGGTTATAACAGAATAACATAGTTGGAAGGGACCTTGGAGGCCTTCTAGTCTTAACTCTTTGTTCAGGCAGGAAGCCCTATACCATTTCGGACAGATGGTTATCCAATCTCTTAAATTATTTTTTTTTTTTTTTTTTTTTTGAATATTTTATTTCATTTTCATTTTCATTTTCATTTTATACAATCACTTATATACTGTGCATAAAAAAAAGAAAAA